TACATTTTAGAAGTATATTAACTGAGCACTCTGAGACTTTCTTAATGAATTTGTATCTGCTTATCTAGATGACATTCTCATCTTCACTGATGAATTCAGAAAGAAATATCAAGAGTATATGCAAAGAGTATTACAACAACTACAAGAAGTGAGACTATTAATTAATATTAACAAGTATAATTTCAAAGTCAAGAGTACTAAATACTTAGATTTTATTATAGAAGCTGATAAGAGAATCTGAATGAATTCTGAGAAAATCTCTGCTATTCTTGAATAAGAGACTCTGTGTACTGTGAAAGATGTATAAAGCTTCATCAGATTTACTAACTTCTATCAGCAATTTATATAAAACTTCTCAGATATTATAAGATTACTTATAGAACTCACTAAGAAAGACACAGTATTTTAATAATCAGCAGATACTGAAGCTGCATTTATATAGATGAAGAAGATATTCATTAATATCTCTTTACTAATAATATTCAATTCTGATTATAAGACAGTTATTGAAGCTGATTTCTCTGACTATGTAATAGAGAAAGTGATATTATAATATAATAATAAAGATGTTCTACAATTATATATCTTCATATCTAAGAAACTGAGTCTCACTGAATGCAATTATGAGATCTATGATAAGAAACTTCTTATAATTATATACTATTTAGAAGAATGAAACTCTGAACTTTGAAGTGTCTCTGAATTTGAGATAGTTATAGATTATAAGAATCTCAAATACTTCATAACTACTTATAAACTCACTGAATAATAGATATAATGATCTAAGTTCTTAAGTCACTTTCATTTTATAATACACTATTATTCTGACAGTCAGAACTCAATGATAGATACTCTCTTATAATGAGAGTAAGATATACTATCTGATATAACAGATACTCACTGAATAAACTGAGAGCATCAGCTCTTAAATCTGAAGATACTAGTTAATCAAGATAGAATAACTCATGACACTATACATACTTCTTCAATTAGAACATTCTCTCTTTAAATCAACACTGACACTGATACTGATATCTTAACTTCTTTCAAATCTACACTAAATGAATTATGACATATAACAGCTTAAACTGATGAACTTCTTCAAGTGCTTATTAAAGCAGTATATCAAGAAGTACTTTGATTCTTCTCAGAACTACATATAAGAATTAACATCTCAGAATACTCAATTAATAACAATAACACTCTACAGTTCTGTGAGTAATATTGAGTCCTCTACTTCAAACTCTTACACACTCAGATAATGCAAGAGATGTATAATTCATGTATAACTGATTATTCAGGTTATGAATAACTGTATTAAATAATCTTCTGAGAGTTCTACTGATCTGAGATATTAAACAGTATCAGACATTTTATCTGAAACTATAATCATTGTTTCTCTATTATCTTGTAAAAGAACTGTAGAAAAGACCTGCTGAAATCACTTAATATCTCTGATAGAATCTGATAAGATATGATAATTAACTTTACTATTGATCTCTCTGAGAGTAAGAGCTGTAGAAATATTCTGATTATTGTGAATCAATTGAGTAAGAGTGTTATATTGAAACTCTGTAATAAGATAAATACTGAATAAGTCACTGAAGCTTTTCTAAGTAGCCTGTTCTATTGAATATATAAATTACTGAGATCTATAGTATCAGATTAAGACTGTCAATTCATGAGTACTCTCTGAATAAGAATCTGTCAAGTTCTCAAGATTATACACTGTCTATTAACTGTCTATCACTCTGAGACTGATAATGCATTAGAATAGATAATTCAGACTGTAAAGAACTATCTCTGTAAGTTCTGTAATCACTTATAAAATGATTAGTATGATCTGCTTCTATACACAGAGATCACTATCAATGAATAAGATGTTATTTCAACAGATATAAGTCTGTTCTTTCTTATACACAGTTATTACATGAAGGTATTGAATCTTCTAGAGACTACACAGTTCACATCAGATCTCTGTAGTCTGATTCAGATCACTGATAATATAGTAATAAAACTCTGAGATGCTCATAATTAAGCAGAGGCCTTTATAACAACTGTGAAACAAGATTAAGAGAATTAAATTAATATTCACTGAGATCTCACTGAATAATATAAGATAGAAGATCTAGTATGATTGAATCTTAAGAATATATAAATCACACATTCATCTTATACACTAGATGACTGTTATATCAAGTATAAAGTGATAGAAGTTCTAGATAGTTATAACTACTATCTTAACACATTATCAGAAATTTATAATATTTTTTATATAAGCTTGCTCTGCTACACTATCACTGATCTGTTTCCTTCTTAACTAACTTTCAACTGACAATCATCAGAGATCATAGAAGAAGATAATGAGCTTGAGTGAGAGATTAAAGATATTCTTAATAAGAGATTATACAGCTGCAGTTGATAATATCTTGTGAAATGAGTCAGCTATGATTAACTGACCTGAACTCTGAGTTCTGCATTATCTGAAACAGCAGCTCTTGACTGATGAGAACTGCTTCTGAAAAGAAAGAGTTAATGTAGTGAGCTGCATCTGATTAATTATATAGACTATTCTGTACACTTTATAGATTTCTATCACCTCATTTCTGATCATCAATTCTCAGCTGTCACAAATGTGTATGTTTCAATCACTGATTCTCGGCTGCTATGAACATGTGTATATTCTTCCACTCTGAAGCATCACTGTGTACATCATCACATACATGTATAAATATTCACTTTGATTGCTGATTCTCACACTTTCTCTTTCTTTTCTTCTCTAATGTTTTTCTCTTTATTATATAAGACCTATCAATATTATACCGATCTATTCGGCGTAGGCCCCTTATATTATCAGTAGTAATATGAGATTTCTAATCACTGAAAAACCAGTTGTTATATCTGTAAAACTCATTAATTATATTATTAAACTGAAATCTGATATTCATCTGATTAATGATGAGAATGCTTCTAATATTAATAATTTAAATTCTACATAGTTACAGTCTGTGAAATCACTAGCTACTTACACTCTGAGCTCTATTACAGATAATCTTCTGAAGTTCTATAAGAATATTATATCTCAGTCAGAGAGAGTAGAAGATTATTAAAAGAAGTTTATACAATGTGAGATTACTGATCTGAAGAGATATAATATATAAAGTTTGATTTCTAGATCTGATATTCTGAGAGATGAATTAATTACTTCAGACTATTAAGTGTTTTTTAAGAAAGATAGACTTATGAATCTGAATACTGATTCTGATAATATTCTTAGAAAATCATATTAAGTGATTTATAATAACTGACTTAAGAAGAATTCTAGAGAAGAGATCTATACTTCTATTATCACTAATACTATCAATTGTATTCTTTTTATAATAGCAGTACTATATAATTGAATACTCTATTAAGTGAATATAGTGATAATATATCTGTATAAATATCTTACTAAGAATGTCTATATAAGATAATTCACTGAATTTGAGACAGATTTACTGAAAATACTTATCTATATAATTGAGAGTAGTCTATACAGTCTGAACTCTGTAGTGAAGATCTGATATAATTACTTAATAACTCTGCTAAGTAATCTTAAATTTATAGTTAGTATTTATAATTCAGTACTTTAATATTATATATTCAGATATTATCTCTATATAATAATTTATATTAATAATCTTAACATTATATCTGAAGTTTCTGAGAATACTGATTGACTAGTAAGTATACTTAATAAGAAATTGAAAGTCAAGAATCTATATCAGTTAATCAAGTATTTAAGTATAAAAGTCAATTATTCAGACAAAGAAATTGATTTAATACATTATTAATATATTAAATATTTTATTAAAAATTTCTATCTTGATAATATAATTATTATTAAAATATTAATAAGAAATGAATTCTGTATTAATAATTCTTCTATATTAGAGAAAGAGACTGATTTCATAATTCAGTGATATTAATATAATGTAAATTACTTATAATATCTTACAGTTAAAATATATTCTGATATTACTTACACTGTCTTTCTACTCACTTAATGAAATATTGATTTAATATCTTAATATTGAAAGACTCTATTACATATTATATATTATTTAAAAGAGATTATAAATCTGAGTATTTTCTACAGATACAGTCTGTATGAGAAGTCTGTTTCTATTAATTCTTCTATTTTTCTCAATTTTCTTAATGATTTCTATCTATTCTTCAGCTACTCAGATTTTGATTAGACTGATCTCTTAAATAATAATAGAAAATTAATATCTGACTATATTTTTAAGCTTACAGATGATCTGATTTCATGATATTCAGTGAAGTAATCTTATATATCTCTAAGTTTCAATAAGACTGAATATATAACTCTTAGTGAGACAGTCTGCAAAATAACATGAATTTAAAATCTTATAATTAAGCTTGACTTTATTACTACATCTCTGATACAGATTCTCACTGATAATAAGAGTATTATTAATCTTACAAAGATAAAAGTTATTACAGTCTGAAGTAAGCATATTGATACATATTTTTATTTTTCATATTAACAGTTGAATCAGAGAGTTATTAATTTAGAATATATTCTTACTACTCAGATAATAATGAATAAACTCATTAAATTTCTAGATACTGTGATATTTATGTAATTCATGATTTTGCTAGATCTTACAGATGTAAAAGTTGGGAATGTTTAATTTTACATTTGTATTTGATTTTAACAGACTATCTTGGTGGTTTGAGTGTTTTTGTATGTGATTCTTGTTATCTCAAGAGGGAGTGTTGGCTGTTACAGCTGTTGCGGTTAGTGATCCCACTAGATCATGTGACCCACCACTATATTATGTTCTTGTAGATAGATCTATCAATACAACCTTCAACTATTCTACAATACACTATGAACATCAACATCATATTACTACTACTATTTCTCTTATCATCAGCTTACTACAAAGCTCGTCTAATACTCGCTTATGCTAGCTCTCTTGGCTCGCACATTTGTTTTACTATAAATAGCTTACATGCGCATACTACGTATGAATTCATGCGGAAACATCAGATTCATCTGTGTGATAGTGGCATTAATTAAAAACACCACTGAAAAGGTCAGGTATCCTGCCACACACGCAGTCTATAGTGACTCTTGGAGGATAACGTTGTTGTATATGTGTACGCAATCTACACTAAATAGGTTGGGTGAGGCCAGTTGTCTGCTTGCACATCCGTCTCCAATATCTATCTCAAGCAACCAAGCCCCTCTGTGAACAGGCAGCAGGATGTACGAATTCCAGAACACATTGCCAGTATACATTTCTTGAAGCACCATCTACAGTATAAATATGTATAAATAAATAAATATATATATTACTATTCTCCCAGTTAATATTCTGGGTGAGCTCATTACTCTCTATACCAATAGCATCAAGCTGAACACAGAAGCAGAAAGCCTGGAAAAGGAGATGTAGAAAGGATGTCGGAAAAACCTACTCTGCAATTCCTACCCGGAGAAATACTGCAACTCATCCATTTCTTTCTCCCGCTAGGCTCCAAACTTGCCCTCTCCCTAACCTGCAAACGCTTCTACAACAGCTTCTTTGAAAACATCCACCCATTCTACCTGAACGACCCCCTCAGGCGTCGGGAATTTGAAAAACTTGCCAGGAACCAGACCATAATCGATGAATTGAAAGTCTACGATTTTCTCCGCTCCCGCGAACTGTGTGGATTTAAATCGTCGGGCCGGAAACTCTTCTGCTGCGACCCCTGCCACACAAGACATCTCCCGCTCTTCTTCCACCCGGCAGACCTTGACGTACCCGTCAGCGAGCGCACATGCATCAAACACATCAGAGGCTTCTGGGTCGAGCCGGGCAAATGCTTCAGCTTTGCAGATCTAGACGGGCGACCCGCCCGGCTGGACAAGATGCGGACTCCCCGCTCCATCCCCCTGAGCGAGGATACCGCCAACGTTCGCAGATACACATTATGGACGCACTACGACATCCTCACACTGCCGATGCACAAGGTCGCATCGAAAGAGCAAATCGCCAAGATGCTAAACGGCTTTGACCTGCCCGCCTGCCCGCACATTCGCCTCAGCGACAGCGTGATCATGGACAATTGCGACATTCCTCGCAACACGGTCGCCGAGCCGCTGGCCCAGCGCTACCCGCCCTTCTTCGACCTGGTCGATCTCTATACAAAATGCACGTTCCCCTCCTGTCTTACCTCGTTCTGCTGGACGGAACATACCAGCACGGACAATCGAGGGTGGAAAACCGTCTACCTCCATATCCTCCGTAAAGTGCGCTTCAATACGTCTATTGACCATGTTTGGATGGCGCAGCTGATCGTCCCCGACGAGACGCTGCTGGAACGCCATTGGGACGAGTGCTTCCGGTGGAAAACGGAGATGATGGCCATTGAGAAGGAGAGGTATGAGAATGAGGAGAGTGCCGGTAACGGTAACGGTAGCCATAGAGATTCCAACCATGAAACCTACCTTGCTCGGAATACCCAACTCTGCCGGCTCGAGGAGATCGTCAACGCCCTCTTCCACCCCCGCCGTCTACATAACTACCCAGACATCGCACGTAGACTACAAACAGCGAGTGAAGGTGCATTCGCCACCAGTAATCCTAATTATGACCCAGACATGCCCATGCGCATGCCCTGTCTTCCCAATCGCCGCCTATGGACCCCCCCGGCCAAACCGATTGTTACGAGCGACAAGATGCTTGATATAGACCTGTCTAGAAAAGCCGTACCGAGAGAGCCTGGCCGCGCAGCGTTCAAACCGTTCATGACGGAGGAGGATTTTCAGCCGTATGGCAAACGGGTGGGCCCTATACCTATGCCGGCCCGTCGAGGAGAGCAGGACAAGCCAACTTCGTGGTTGGGAAGGTTGTTTAAACTGGCAGCCACATAACTACTTACTTAAATGGAGAGTACACCGTACAAAATCCAATATAACCACCACCTTTGACCTGCCTTAATCACATCCCTCAATAACTTGCAAAGATAAAAAATAAAAAACAAAATGTAACAGAATAAAGTTTTAAAATTTAAAAAAAAAAAAAAAAAAAAAAAAAAACCAAGACGACGCGAGCAGGATTCGAACCTACGCCCCCGAAGGGAAGAGATTAGCCAGTTCTAGTCTCTCGCGTTAACCACTCCGCCATCGCGCCTTGTCATACCGAGGATGTATCGATATTTGCTATATGACTTATTACGGTGGCCACCTGCCTACCAAGCTACTGGAAGAAAAGCGCGGATCTCCGAACATTCTATTTAAAATGCGGGGGGGGAGATATTGAACTGAACTACCTTCAAACCTACTAAAGATTTATTTGAATTCTTCGTTCCGCAAGCAAAAAAGGATATACAAGAGTAATGGCTATACGTAAGGTATATCACTCAGGGAAATTATCCCAGCTTCGCCCAAACACCCAAGGTAAAAAGCTCAACAAACCAACTGTACTAGAGAAATCAAATTACTCCCGCTCGCTGTCGCTTAACACCGAATTGCATCCAGCGTAGACAATTCTGAACAAAAATAGGGGAATGGCTATGAAGACACAGACCCCATATACAAAAAGCTCCGAAGAAAGAAAATCACTCGTCTCCATGGAGCCAGAGCAATTGAATAATCTCTCTAGGTTAATTAACTAGTGTATACCATTTTGACTACGTACCCCATAAATATGCTCGCTTGACTGGCTGAGATGGCCCTCGCTCGTCTGTCCCACGTCCGACTTACACTTCTCACCAGTCCGGCCAATGTTGCGTGCTCGCCTGCTGGCTGCCAGGATTTTTGCAAATTTGGATTTTTCTCTAATGATGGCTCCTTTCCAATAGAATATGTAAATGGGGATGGTAACCACGAGTGAGATAATCGCCAGAATGGTCGAGGGCCATTCAAGTTGATATTTGTTGCCGATGTTTTCGTACACTATATTATATCAATCAGCAAAGGATAGCCAAGGTTCACGCATCTGGGGTTACTAAAACTCACATGGTGTTGAGTACATCGCTGCAATGCCAGCAAGGAAATCCCTTGCGAGTGCATTACCACCCGTCGCAGATGCGGAATACGGCCCATAACTTGCGACCATGTAGTCAATCGTCGCCATGTATATGCAGTACTATTATATGAGCTCGTTAACTTGCAATACACGGAGAATGCGAATATTATGGATGGGAGTCTCCATTTACATTTGCAACGGCAATCAACAGAGAAAATATCATTGGGGCAATCCAATGTACTTGGGGTGGGCCTAAACTGGTCCAGGCAAATCCGAATAAACCGATGGTTTCAAGAGGGGCAGCTACGTAAAACATCCATGTCAGCTTAATGGATCGCATAAGGCATAGGCAGATATGCAGGATTAGCCCTACTAAATAAGAGCCACCATAACCTTGATTCTGGCTCAAGAACATTTGAATTTTTCCTGTGAATCTTTCGGTGCTTTGTCATGATGGGGAGAAAGGAGATGTAGCCGATGAAGTATCCGATGAGGATGCTATGGTGCAAGATTAGCAACACATTCAAACTTGTAAACACCCTTTGCCTACGAATCATATACACTTACGGTATAAAAGCCAGCCCAACGTGGATGGTGCCAAATCCCCATTGGGCATACACAGGCTGGTACGACTCGAGGAAAGTGAAGATCAAGGCATCGCTAAAGCCACTGAGAAGTGACAGACAAAACACGATGGGCTCGCGGACAAACATACTAAACGGTCGAAGCCAGATTATCGCAACAGCTTTCACCGAAATTCCCTGTCCGTGGATCTCACTGGGGCCGTAAATACCTGGCTGCCCTGCCTTGCGTCGCCGTTTAGCCTCTCTGTCTAGCAATATAGTAGTTCTTGTTTCTGGGACAAGTAACAGGTGAGCGAGTTGAGCAGCGGCTCCAAAAATTAGCTGAACCCAAAAGTTCCATCTCCAGTCGAGATAAACCTCCATGAAGCCGCCGACGATGGGTGCTATGACAGAACCCGCAACAGAAGAAAGTACAATGAAAGCGACAGCAAATTGTTGGTCGTCTGGTTCCCACATATCTGCAATCATGCCCAGTGTAACAGAACCACCAGCGGAGGATAAACCACCGAAAAAGCGCCCGACCACAATGGTGTGGTAATTTCGAGCCAGCGCGCAAGGGATTTGCCATATGTTTACCAGGGATAAACTTAGCTGCATGATAGGATACCGGCCAAGCTCTTCGCTCCAAGGGGCCCATAGCTCACTGCCAAACGCGTAGGCGACGAGGAAAATCATCTGGCCCACCCTAGCAGCTTGCTCGGAAATAGAAAAATGTTGAGCTAGCGGGGTGATGGCATTGGCGTAGATACTTGTATTAAAGTTCATTGATAATTGCACGAAAAAGACGACGCTTAGAATTGTCCACTTTTTCCATCGCGGGAAGCTGAATCCCAGTATCCCATAGCACTCGCTTTCAAGAAGCAGTGTCTTTGTGGTCTCATCTTTTTGTGCGGACCCTATCGGTGATATGGGTGCAATTGGCAATAATTCACGCTGACCATTACGTAAGGGATAGTGGTCTTCTCCGCTCGTAGGATGAGATGTGAAAGAAGACAACCGTAGGGCATCACTCTCAGCAGAAGACGGCAGCTTATCCCGTAGGCTCGCTTGAAATTTTGGGACGAATCTGGGGTAGGTTTTATGGCGCGAATGAGAGCGTTTATGTTCTTCTTGCGCCGAAATCTGAGCAACAGGGTCCGAGGCGGTCATTGTATAAGAATGGGATTATCAACAAATAGTATTCCACAGGATAAGGCTGTGGAAGAGCTAGACACATTGGAAAAGGATATAGAATAAAAGAAGAGCCAGTAGAATGCAATGAGCAGGAAAGTAAAGAGAAGAACCGATGAGAAAACAACAATAAGGCCATGGCAAGCAGCAAGCAGCAAGCACACTCCCGCGCCGAGGGAGGAAGAACCGTCACAACCATATTGGTTCGCTGCTGCTGTGATTATCATTATTCCTGCTGTTATAGTTGCCGTATCAAGCACAAGGAGAAGTAAGTAAACAACATCTTTGTATACACGGACAAGCCAGATGTGCCCCCATGTATGTACTACTAGTACATTGTAGTATTAGGGAGCTGTCTGGGAGGTTTCAGAAATAGTAAGCATATCATGAGCATCCATGGTTATATTTCAGGTGATGTTAAATTGCCAGATGTCCAAACAGCGTTGCTGTCTTCGGATAGCGTCGAGTAGATAAGTTGTAAATACTTAGTTGTATGTTATAACTATAGGTTGAGCTGAGCTGAACGGCGACCTGTCACCAACCCACCCCCCCTGGCTGACTAAAGACGTAAGTTAGTTAACCTCTAGTTATTCCAGGAGCCGCGTCCTGCTCCACTCTGAACAACATCACTCCTCAACCCAATTATTTAGTATATGTTTGTGAGCAGCAACGTTGCTTCAGTCACCTCACCGGTTACATAACTATATAGTTGCCGACTTTGCATGCCGAACCCGGCTATCAACCCAACCTTCCAAGCCTTCGATCGTAATCGGAGCAATGGAGAACTGGAAATTTTTCATTGGAGCTGAAGCGATTGGGTTGAATTCGATATCCATGGATTGGCATCAAAAGCCTCTTTCGGGAAAATGACGTTGTCCAAGAGAGTAAGGTTTCGAGTTACAGCACCCGTCATCCTCCTTGAAATCACTGAAATCATGCGCTGAATACACTCCCAGCACTGGCAGTCGTTGCTAGTGGTTGCCGTTGTTTACGCGGCATTTCTTTTGCTTTCTTTTCTTTTCTTTTTTCTTTTTCCTTTTTCTTTTTTTTGGGATTATTCGATGCAAGCCAAAGGAATATAAAAGAGGAGCGGAAAAATGCTGAAGGCGGCTTGCGGCTTGGAAATGGACGCTGAACTGGGATGGGAGCCTCTTCCTTGACTTGCCTGCTGAATCAATACTCGCAGATGGATTGCGGGAATGTTTTAGACCCGATTAGAAGCTTGCCAGTTGCTCAACTAGGAGGATGCAATAACCTGAGCTGCACGAGCGTGCCAAACGATATCCCGAACTTCTCTAGACACTCTGCACCCCCAGACTAATCCATCCCGGGTCTGAAACCAATCGTGAAATGAAACTACTCTCATGGAAGGTGTTTTGTTCTGCGCATCGATGCAATCTGAAATCGTAATGCCGGCAAGGAAAGAATCCCATCATGCTGCTGTGATAAGCACCCGGAACCATATTTAGAAAAAGTCAATTCTGAATACCTGCAACTCAAACAAGCTAGCGGAAAGATTCTCTTTCCCGAGTTATCCATAAGCTTAAATTGGCTTCCGCTCCACGCCGTTCCACATCTACTGTCTTTACGAAATGGAAAGAGGGCAGCTCTATGGGTTGGATATAGCGGCCAGAGTTACATAACTTGGCGAGTTCTGCCACCTGGCAAACTACCTCGTTTCATTCTAAATCCTGAATCTGGATCTGTTGATTGCATAGCTCAGATTCTGGAAAATCTAGTGTTTGCATATCGTCTGGTATCGGATTCTGTCCAAAATGGAGATGAACAGTGATGAAAAGGTAAGTCGAGATCTTCACCTGCATATTTGATCCAGTACTTTAATATCACATACATTGGTTTTGAGTATCAAGTTTCTTAATTGATATCATCTAAACCAGTTCAAACAAACAAACAGTGTACTAATATCATTTCTCATTTACTAGACCCTCAGACAGTCAGTTTGACACATTAGGGATTCGATTTGCCATCTATCACTAACCTTAAAATTGTTCAGGATTGAGAGGGAGTTGGACACTAAGATCTACCCTGGCACGGAGATTATGACAGATGTTGGTTCTCATCAATTTGTCAAGTGTTCAGATCGTGTCTTGGTCCCACAGCCATCTCAAGAGCCTAGTGATCCTTTGGTGAGTGAGCCCCCTGAGTATCTCACTGGACGGTAGAAGGATGACCATTTATTTACAAAATAGAACTGGAGCCCTTTCTGGAAAGCATGCGCGATGTTTCTTTCAACCGCGGTGACATTTACGCAAGCATTTGGTCCCATGGCTTTAGCGCCTATGTTCCCCCAATTAATACAGGAGTTCGATACCGACCTAGCTGGGGTAGTTAAATTCACTGGTGTTTGCATCCTGTTCCTTGGGTTTAGTAATTTTTTCTGGTGAGTTG